AGAGTGTTTGGGGGGGGGGGGGGTCTCTGAAGTGTGGCTGGTGTAAGAGAATCTGGACTAAACTGACTCGGGTCTGTTCCACTTCAAGTCACGTTCCTAAAAGAGCACCCATGAAATGCGTTGCACACCCCAGGGTGCGGGGAGCGAGTATTTCTTGACCAGAACCAGACAGTCCAGATTCCACCATACTTCAAAAACGCCCTTGCTAAACAGTTTTGAAATCTGCACCAATAGCCTTGTTATGTTGCCTTCTGCTTCATTGTGAATGCTAAATACAGCAGCTGCTTGGTGCTAAATGCTGCACAAGCCAGGACATAATTGTTTTACACCACTGAATGCACATTCCCGCTCATTGTGCAAGCTACATTTGAAATCGGTCTAGGCTGCCTGCTCCTGATAGCCCAAAAATACCCTTAGCATCACTTATGTTACAGTAAGAGGTGGAGACTTACGTGAAAGAGGAAGACACTTATCAGAGTTAGGCAACTATAGCACCACATACTAGCACAGAAGCCTTGCGCAGTCTGTGCAAGAGACAGACATCCTGTTTTACACCAGAAGGAGTGACAGTTGAGCAACATTGTGGCAAACACTGCAACAGTCATTTCTTCAGCCCAATGCGAAACTGGAACTGACACTCAGATCCACTGCCCCTTAGGAACTGGCTTGCATGAGTACAGGAGAGGCAGAGACATGCTCTGGAGAATGCAGAACCATTTAGAAATGTAGCAGCTGAAGTGATGTTTCAAAGTTGGGTGGGAGCTGGATCTAGCCCCCCAGCTTAATCTGATCCAGCCCACAGCAGGCAGGCAGCCCCCAGCCTCGGGTGCCCACACTGGGCTGGTGCCCACAAAGCACACTGAATTAAGTGAGAGTGAGAGACAGGTTTTTTATTCTTGTGTGTGGCCCCAAGTTGACTTTTCTGTGTGTCACTGGCCCTTGGCCAAAAAACATTCCTCAACCTTGTTCTGAGTACACCTTCCTCCTCTCCCCAAGCCAACGGGTGCTGGTTTGTGTTTGGCCCACCTCAGCTCACCTGTACTGAAGAGCCTGTTGCCCCGGGCTTTGTCATAGGCTTGTTGCAGCGTCTCTGTGCACAAGGGTTAGAAATCACAGCCAAATACTGGGACTAAGCATGGCCTCCTTCCCTCCCTGTAGGGCGCAGGTGGCTTCTCTCCACCAGGAATTGGCCTGCTCGATTGTATTGACAGGCAAGCCCTCCCCCACACCTCAGAAAAAGCCATGAACATAATTTCGCCGCTCCCGGTACCAGTCCCAACACACTGCTGCTGGGTACCTTGTTACTGTCCCTTCTTCTGGGCCCCTGGCAGGGTGCAGCTTGTATGTGGCTTGGCAGAGCAGCGCTTGTGTCTCAACCTGTTTTAACTCTTCTGGAATGTTGTGGTAAACTCGCACAGCCCCTCCACGGGCACGTCCGGCAGTATGGGAGAGTAACCCTCCGCTCAAGCGACACGCCAGCCCCCCGGCCAGTCTGGTGAGTGCGCACAACAGTTACACCCGTGCAGCTATCTGTTCACCCCTTATCTCCCACTGCCATTCTCCATGTGCACAAGCCCTAAGTGAGAGCAGAGGGGACGTATCTGTCACTTCCTCCAGGCCACGTCTCCCACGAGCTGTGGTCCCACAAGCCCCGTCACAGACCAGAACATGTGTGAGCCACTGGATGCTCTGTAAGACCTCACTCCCCATTTGAAGCAAAGGTTTGTGCGGCATTCTCTGCCTCCTGCGCAGGTCAGAACAAGCTGCTATGACAAATACTTGTAACACCCAGCACAAGCCATGCTGAATTCAAAGTTGCAGCATTTTGGCAGTTCATTGTACTACCAATGGAAGCGTTACTGTGGGGTGACCTGGAAACACCTGGAAGACAGGATTCATGCCACCTCCGACAAGTACTGGAGCATCGCTCACACGCCGACACAGACATAACTCATCGCGGAGACAATTCGAGTGAATTGGACTTCGGGGGCAGATTGCAAACTCCCACGCGGGGCTCAGCTTTTGAAGTTACACCCTCCAGGGGTTGGGCGGGGACAGGACTCCAGTCTGCTGCTTACCTTGTACAGAGCACTTCGGAGACCCGCTCAGGAAGGAGTTAGCTGGTTCTTGTCCGGAGCACGAGGAAAACCTGCAGGTGGTGTTTGAACGACTTCCCTGGTCAGAGGCAGGTTTGCTGGCAGGCAGTGGGGGGGGGAGGTGTTCCTGGTAACGCTGTTACCTTCGCAGGAAAGGCCTGACACAGAAGCAGCTGGGGAGGGGGGGCACTTACAGGGGTTCCTGTCACTGAGGAGTGGACAGCAGGCTGCCTTAGCAGCCAGGTGTTGCTGGGGAGGTCACAGTCCAGGCAGAGTGCTGATCCAACTGGAACCCCCAGGCCAGGCAGCCGAGACACATCTCCTTCCCGAGGAGCCCAGGATGGGGGTCCTGGCTGGGCCAGAGGGGGTACAGGCCCAGCACAGAATGAGTGCCAGCAAAGTTGGAAGCAAGCTGGCATGCCCCGGAGTGACACACTGAGACGGGCTGGCTGGGGGCAGGGCTCTGGATGTACAATTTAGATGAATGGGCTAATCGAATAGTCGGTGCAGTTTGCATCATATATTCGATTAGCCGATAGGCGCCTCCGCCTGTGAAGAGAGGCAACAGTCCCTGGGCTGCTGCTACGCGTCAAATGAGAAAGCGCTGCGGGGAGCAGGGGCTAGCGAGGCAGTCTTCAGCTGGCCCCGGGCTTCACGCAGTGTTTCAAAGTGGCAGCACCGTGTGGAGCCCGGGGTCTGGTCCCAGAGCACGTGTGGTGCGCACCCCCTCGTTTTCCCCCCTTTGCTGCCTCGGAGAGATGCAGCAAGGGGGTGGGAAGTGACTAGTCCTTCACATCCCTAGTTCCTCTGTCCCAGCCAGCCTGGCACCCAAGCAGTTGGGCAGCCCCGGGGACCCATTGTCCTGCAGTACAGGAAATGCACACCCAGCCCTGGGTCCCCCCACTCCCAGTCCCTGAAGCC